TATATATATATATTATATATATCTATATCATATATAATACATATACAATAAAGAACATATACATTACATATACATATACATATACATATACATATAAATAGACATATATATATATATGAATCTAGATATATAAAGATATAATCTATATATAGATCAGTTATATAGTTATCAATTATCTATATATTACTGATGTAAAGATTGCTGATGTTAAAGATTCATAAGATTTTTTATTATATTCATTACATAGGATTTATAGAGCAAATATAGATTAACTTATTTCTCTATGGTTACTGAATTTATTCCCAACTTCATTATTATTATTATTATTATACCTTTCACCTGTTATTAATGCATTCATATTATGAACCCCTATCCACAATGAGTTCAATCTATTAATTGTTTTTAATTACAGATGACTCTACAGTAATAAGTCACCAATGAGCCAATTACAAGTACTACCAGCCTCACCTGTTAAACCATTGCCGCCGGGGGGATGGCATTTTACGTACATGCCATGCCCACTGTGAGTCGACTGTTCGATGTTTTTACACATAGATGGCTACACTTGTACTAAGTATCCAATGAGCCAATTACAGTACTGCCTGTCTCGCCCGTTCACCCTTTTCATCGATTTACGAAAATATTTAACGTTATCCTAATTTGCTGTTAAAAATAACACCATCTATATTTATAGCACTAGTAAGAATATGTTTTTTCCCGCAAATTCAAGGAAAGGTGAAATCAGGACTAGCAGAGCCATCTATGGACAGAGATATTTCACAAAAATATAAAGAATGAGTACTGCATTTCCCCCATTTTTTGTTCATTTTCCCCGTAAGCAATAGGTTAACCCTTTTCCTTGATTTCCTAAAATATTTTCTGGTATCTAATATTGCTGTAACTAATGTCATTAACACTTTAACAATTATAGTCTATGATAAAAATAAAAGCATTGATATTGATGGCATTAGCCAAAAAAACAAATAAAAACAACAAGTGCTTAAGGTCTACTAATTGACTCCTTTGTGGCTTAGCACCTGCAGAGCCATCTGTCTGCAGAGACATTTCACAAATCAATACTACAGTGAACACATTTTCCCAGGACCTTTGGGTTAATGGTAACAATGACAACTGTAAATTTAATTCTTCAATATATATATAATTGCAGTTTGGTTAGAAAATGAATCACATTTGTAGCTTTAGCAACTTTATGAGAATGTCCCAAACCTGAACAAAATTTGTCCCACACTAAACACACTTTCTGAGACGTGCTTCATTATTCATCAAAGTGGGAAACAGGGTATTTTTTTTACATAAAAAGTAAAAAGAAAAAAAAAATGAAGTTAATGCCATATGCATATACAAAACATCACAAAATATTTTTACAAACAAATATCACAATTGCAGGTTTAAAACAAAAGCAATACAAAAGAAACCTTGGGAATTGTACTTTGCACTTTCCCACATAAAATAAAAACTTACCAAATGCATATGTTCAACCTGAATTTCTCTTTATTATGCCTACCTATAGTGATCACAGACCAGACACTACATTCAAATATACACTGCAATGACAAGATACAAATCATATTAATGAGTATGTGTAAATATCAATTTACTTTTGTAGCATCAACAGTACCCAAAAATTAGGCAAAAAATTCATATAAAAAACTCAACAGTCATGAAAAAACAGTGCCTTTGAACACCAGTTCATCTATTACTGAAGGTTTCCCTTGCTATGCCTATCAGATGTGACCGTTTCGTACGGACAGTCTCATTGGATGACACTATTTTGTTCCAAGCTGTCTTTGGCAAAGATGACTACACAAAAAAAAAGGATAAGCTATTATATACAAGCTGGCATTTCCTTATACATTTTATTTCAACATGAGCAGTTGACCTGATAATCTAGCAAAAATCCTCTAAAGCAAGTAATGTGAACATGTGCATATTAGTCATAAAAAAAAATGGAAAAGGAGGACATAACTGGAAAATGGTGCATTTCAAGATGCTCACAATACCTACTTGATTCTGACCAAAAGAAAGAGAAAAGAACATCAACTATGATTACATTTCCATGTGTACTTCTATACAATGTGTGTCCATTTGGCAAACATCCTAAGTACTATAGTTCTTGTCTTGCATCTCCAATAATGAAATCAAAATAACCTCATGCCCTGTATCTAAAAAGCCACAATTATAATCATGTATCAACAGGTAAATATTACATTATACAATGGCAGGTTATAGACAGGTTTAGTCAAATCCTTTTTTTTTTTGTATACTGATTCAATAATTCAATGCTATATGTATATCAATGAAGGAAGTTCATATTAGGGAAGATCACAAATGCACTATGGTGGCTGAAAAATAATTAAACAAGCTATCATTTAAATAAAATTGCACATGTAGCATATCACTCCTTATTCTAAATATACTTTAGCAGAATATGATTTTTTCCTCCTTTATAATAATTTACCATCATCCATTATATTCGTTCTCCACCACCATTACTTTTGTGCCATAATACTGTCTTAGGGATCTTTTCTGCTCTCTCTATAAAAAAAAATCAATGACTTACTTCTGACAATTATTCTCAAAAACCTATTAAGTATGAAAATGCAAAGTTGGCAATAAGAAAACTGTGGGACTGCATATTTATACAGAATCTTCAAACTAATCTACTTTGATCTATACATCTGACAAATAATTAACCTATTAAAAATAAGAATAACCTTTTGCACCAGAAACATTCACAGATACTGGGTGCCTACTGTCAAGTACCAAAAATTCCCCAATTACAAATCATTTCGGCCTAAGATTTTTCAACTTCAAGCCCCGGAATAAAACAAAATCAAAACTCAGCACTGTCCTAAAAGCTCATATACAATATCAATAAATAATGCTTCTAATCCAGGAAATATCATGGGTAATGTTCCTCTTCAGCACATTAAAATTTAGTGAACGTGCATCATCTCTGACATAGAACCCCAGCCTTCTGCTTCACGATAACAGAGCAGACAGCAGCTTGTTGGCATACAAACACTGGCTGTAGAAGGAAACCCTCATCTGACATGCCCAGCTTCTTTTTCTCCACTATGCCGCAGAGATGAGGGATACAATCATTCTGTAAGAAAATTGGTCTCCTGTTTATGCTTGTAATTTTCACAGTACGTGCCTATAAACTCAAAGATTTAAACAAAAATAATCAAAAGATTAATTAAATTCAACAGTAATACAGTATATTTCTTAAGATGAAATACTGGATTTCATTACCCCTACATATTGCTAAAGTTTTTTCAGTCTGCTGAACAAAGTCTTGCTATCTCTTATATATATACCTTAGCACAAACATAATTAAAATATGCATAATTCACAATATAGTACCAATCACATAATACATTGCTGCCAGATACATGCATTATAGATTGTAGTTTTGTTTTGCGAATTTTGTTTACACATAGATGGCTCCACAAGTGCTTAGTCTGCAATGAGTTATTTAGAAGGCTTACCTGACCTCATCTGCTTACCTCATTTCTTGAATTTTCGGAGAAAAAAAATCTAATACTAATATTAGCACTACTATTATGGTTATGACTGCTATCATTATTATCATCATTATAATAATTATTATTATCAATACTGTGACTATTATAATGTTATTATCTTTCCTATCAGAATTCTTAAAATTGCAAACATCAAGAAAATGGGTATACAGGATAAATAAGGTATAATAACTGACTCCTCGATGATTAAGCTCTTCTGGAGCTATCAATCAATAGATTAAATCACTGTGGACTGAGTATGCACATACATGCCCTGTACAGTTTAAAATATAGCATGAAACTTCACATTTCTTCCCATCAGTTGACTTAAACAAGAAGCTCCAACTTAAAGCTTTAATTCAAAATGCCTTTCCACTGCTACTGACTGTCCAAGAATAACTCACCCATAGAGATAATAGAAGAAAGCCAAAAGGTAGAAGGCCAGCTTGATCCAGCCCTCTCTCTGGCACTGGCTCAGCACCTCATGGTTCATGATGCTTGTGGGGTCGTACAATCCAGGCCCGGACATCACTGGTCTGTTTCGGTACCTGAATAACACGTACAGAGCTCAAACCAAAGTCCTGATGTGTGTAATTCTCAGAGAAATAAATCAAAATTCCACATAATGTGTTCCTCATATGCTGTGTTATTAAGGGACAACCTAAAGTTACTGTAATTACTCTGAGGGTGTGCTGCTGCTTACCTGTTGATATGGTAGGCAATAAGAGGCACATTGAGAGCTAAAGTGAACCACTCGCCAGCCATGAGGAAGAAGATGTTGAACAGCAAGTGAAGGGCATATTCTGGTAACACCAACTGCAAGAAAACAAGAATATGTTTGTAAATGTATCTTGAACGTTACCAGAATGACACATGAAGGAAGTTCTGATAAAGTGAATAAGTTACAAAATATATAGATAAAAAAATAAATACATATGTAAGAGACAAAAAAAAAAAAAAAAATCTAATACAGCATTGAATGCATGACATTCTAAATGAAATTTAATCCAATAACATATTACATTTAAAAATATCAATCCCCCAAATATATACACATACAATATATATTTATTATTAACACACTTACTCCCCCAATAAACACAAGCCAATAAAACTTACTGGATTTAGGCTGTTACACTGGTCTATAGGGTTTTTGTAGTCTGTCTTCAGTTCATCAAAAGCAATTATCTGAAAAAAAAATTAACAAAATCAAAATTAGTTTAATACTCCTCTCCCTGTAGTAAAGGATATACTTCCTTTAACCATCTTGTAATAAGGTTGGGATTAGCTTCTACTTTCCTTCTCAAGAAAGGGAATGTGTGAGCAAAATGATGCCCTCTATATGTCCAGGTCATCGAGCTGTGGAGCGGCAGTGCTTGGCAAGGTGGCCTAGGCACCAACAATTCTGATACTGACAGGGGTAGGTTGATATGGTCAGACAGAGAGGCTCTTTCCACCAATATAAACATCATGAGGGAGATCATGTCTACAAAAAGTCATCTTGGCAATATTGGTGTAGGACTTAGGCAGCCTCTTGGGGGAATGGTGTAGAATTGTACTGTTACTGCATCATAGTCTACGAGGCAAGTAAGTCTTCACCACAATCTGGCCAATCCTTATCGTAGACAGGGGAGTTTGTTGGGGAGATAGAGCCAGTTCTGGTACAAGTATTGAAGGAGGGATGAGGCTGAGCAGGAATGGGTTTGATAGTGAAACCAGTCAAGTCTGATAGTGTTTTAGCTTGGGGTTCTGATGTAATTGTGACAAAGCAGGAACATTCGTTGATAAAGGGGCAAGCCACATTGCCCCTAACAGAGGTACAAAAACTTCATTATTGGCCATGGTAAGCCTGGAGGGAGAAACAGTCCACAGCTCAGGGTACCCTTGAGGGTAGGTTGTGGAGTAGGGGCTAGACAACTAAACAGGGGAATACCATGACTCCTTCAGACCATTCATGACTGGTACATAGTAAGCATTTCATCTTTTCAACACAGCTCTCATACCTTAGGAAGTGATAATAGAAAGGGTTGGAGAAGAGAAGGAAGTGGAAAGGGAAGAAAGACAAAATTGTGCAAAATTGGTTGAGTCTGGGGCTGAGGCCCAAGGTAGGGGTGATCCCCAGCATTATGTAGCATGTAATAATTTGATATACATTTACAGGAAAGTGTAATTATTATATAGAAAGGGAAAAACAACACTAACTGGTACATAAAATAATTTATGTAAACAGAGAAATTTCAGGAACAGAACCCCTGAAAGACAAATACAGCTATCTGGTGAGGGTCTGGGGGTGAAACTGTTGGGTTAGAATGGTTTTTGGTTTGTATGATGTTGTTTGTGGATTCCAAGAAGTGGCTGGAGTAATAGGGACTTCACTTCAAAAACAATTACAAATATTTTCATGATACCATTTGTGATGGGAAATGACATAAGATTCACATATTTTACAATGTGAATAACTAAAAGAAGGAATAATAGGTTGGATGGGTGTGTGAAACTAAAAGAATTACCTCTTATTCCTCTGTTCATGAGTGTCTTCAAATTTTAATGCAGCAAAGGTGGTGCTGCTATGTAAATGAGCGTATACCTATAGCATGGACGTTCTCACACAGCACACCTTGTAGACCTTTATTTAGATTTACTATCAAATAAGGACCCAGTCAAAGCTCTACCTTGCACAGTGGTCATGGCATTTATTGATGTGATCCTATTCTGACCAATTACCAAAAAAAGCCTTATAATGTCTTTAGATAAATTTCAGGTTTCAACCAGCCTTGGACTTTCGAAACAATTTCCTTTTAATGGTTGTTTACTGCTCTTATGCTGTTGTTTTCCGTCGAACCATTGCAAGACAATAAGATATCCATATTATTTTTTATGCTTTCAAGATAGTCTTTGAAAAGAATGTTTTTTCATTCATACTGTTATAATAAACAACCCTATAAACATATATTTGTAGCCATCAACAAAGGTTTTCAAAACTCTTACCCCCTGGGCCCTTGTTCAGTCACTCTCAATAGAACTATCTCATCAAAAGGAATTGGGGCAGAGTGGGGTTGGTCCAATTCTTTCCCATGTAAAGGGGAGGGGGAAGGGGGTATTCGGTGATACACTTACTTTATAATAAAATATTGTGGAGGAGCAAATCATTTTTTGCATAAACAATGCCTGAAATGATATAAATGTAGCTCACACATATCAGCCACTTCACTATCTCTTTATGGTAAAGGCAGGCTTTCCATATATAGAGTATGAATAGAGTTGTGTGTTTATTAAATGGTGTAAAAGTAGTAGTGGTTTATTAAATGGTGCACATATCCATGATCCTTTAATGCATGGCTTACATATCAGCTGTTGCTATAATGATTTCAGGTTATTTAATTTATTGAGTGATGAGCATTTTTGTCCTGCAATCAGTGCCAAGCAATACTGCCACAATTTCCCATAAAAGTTCAATATCCTCAGAGACCCGTAACTTACCTGGGCTCTCTGTCAATTAATTTTTATTTTGTTACTTCTCAATAAATGCCCTAATTTCTCTTAATCCCATAACTTCAAAAACCAACAATTAACCCACAATATATTTTTCAAAATAAAAATGTAATCCTTATGGGAGTGGCAATTTTCTAACTGGTTGAAAAAACTTTCGTATGTTTTACATCATTTTCAGATATTTAAAATGTTCTGTAATGTATTGAAATATAGAGAATCCTATTAACCCATTGCCGCCGGGGAAAATGAACAAAAAATGGGGAAAATACTGTACTCATTTTTTATATTTTTGTGAAATATCTCTGCCCATAGATGGCTCTGCTAGTCCTGATTTCACCTTTCCTTAAATTGGCGGGAAAAATCATATTCTTACTAGTGCTATAAATATAGATGGTGTTATTTTTAACAGCAAATTAGGATAACGTTAAATATTTTCGTAAATCGATGAAACGGGCGAGACAGGCAGTACTCGAATTGGCTCATTGGATACTTAGTACAAGTGTAGCCATCTATGTGTAAAAACAATCGAACAAGTCGACTCAAAGTGGGCATGGCATGTACGTACATGCCATCCCTGGCGGCAATGGGTTAAAGTAAAATCTTAGACACTTAACAGTTGTGGAGCTCACACCACTTGCAATCAGGTCTGCATTTTTTCTTAGTTCTCAAATCTACAATACACAGCTATCACATGCCTGGTGTCATGTGATTTGTTATTAATATTTCATGCAGTGCATTGGCTTTCATAACTAGTATATCGCACGTTTGCAATGTACAGTAAATTGCTTTAAAAGTACCAATAGAAATTCACACAATAGCGTATTTTAAAATTCCCACACAATTCTTTAGGCTTATCTTGCCAGTAATATGGGACAGACACATCAATTTGTTCAATGCAAGAAATTTGTTAGTTGCTCTAAATACTCAATATTATTAAAGTTTACTTTTGTAACGTCATAAACTTTTTGGCAGAAAAGTCTCCTTCGTGTAACTTTATGCAGGCTTCATCTACATATAAAATTAATTTATTACAATAAATGTAAACAAACAAAATGGCATCAATGTTTTGTTTGAGTTAATCCTCTGGAATAACACCATTTAACCAATAACGATGATTATGATATCAATACATAGCTCTCGCCTTCTAGTAGACATATGTAAATTTGTTGTGGAATCAACCCTAATCCCCACATTCTTGTCCCCAATAGCAGGGAAACAAAGAATCCTTTACACTTTACACAACAGAGTAAAGTGTCAGACAGACTTGGTGTCATGAGCTCCCACATGTCAGTCTTGTGCTCTATCCTGCTGTGAAGATGTGAGGATTCTTGATTTTTACTAAGCACAGCCCCCTGCACTTGACAATACAGTGACTAATTCTGTGTACTTTGTTCATATTTTACCCTGCAATTTCCCCAGTACCTTTCATGACCTCCCTTGATACCAGGGCCAAGAATGTGGGGGTTTGAGGGGGTTCAGTGGCAAAATTTTGATATATCTGGATAGTAATAGGTGAATCCATCGATACCAAAATCATCAGTTATGTGACACTATTCCAGAAAATTACCAGTGTAGAAAGAATTTTTTTCAAGCAAATTTTGGATAACTTTGTTATTATCAACTTGCAATTACTGCAATTGGACGGCAATTATTAAAAACCTGAGATACTTTTACAATTCGGGCTCTCTGACACTTGTGTGTCAAATAACTTTGTTACTTTTGATTTGCAATATAAGTTTCTTAGATTTACATGCTCTATCACTTGCATATATTATTTTTTATAAAAAAGGTGGCTGGTTGAAATTTAATTTATCAACTCTGACAATTGGGTCTTCCCTGACAAAATTTATATCATCATATTTTTTCTCATGTGATGAGAATGTATTTGATGATCATTTCTGTCACATTCACAAGCCTACAATCTTGATGTGATTTGATAAGTCCCAATGGCAGGTTTAAGGCATGAAGTAGATCAGGGAAGTAATGGGGTAAAATTTGCTGAAATAGAAAGTCTACGGACTGATGCGCCAACTTTCAAAAAACAGGAATCAAACCCATTGTTCAGTAAAAACCTATAAGATTTCACATAATCCAGATCCCCTGTGGTAATTGTACAATGTGTGTTAACCAATAAACCAACTTAACTTTAACCCTGTGGGATTTATACACTACAAACTATACATTCCATAATCAAGAGGCTCTGGACTCCCGTAGTATATATACTCCTAAGCAGAGGGCTATGACCTCTGGATCCCATGGTATTATATGCACCTAGGCAGGAGGCTTCAAGAAAATACAATCTATATATCACCTAGTCAGGGGTGTCTGCCCCCTGGACCCCTAGGGTAAAAACAACATACTTTTATATAGCAAAACACCAAACATTTCTTCAATTACATCTATGGTCAGAAGTGCTGAGTTTCTAATCACTTTTTTGGGCATTTGGGGTACTTATGGACTTGTATATAAGACTGTGATAGATATTAATGTCTATTTGTTCTGTATATCCAATATATGGCTTGAAAAATGACCCCTCATCAACAAAACACTTAAAATGAAACATTCCTCACTGGCGTTCCTCAACAAATGGCATCGCACGGCCTGTCAAATCTCCTGGTGGCAAAATGTGCATGTGCAAAATGTTACTGTACAGAATAACTTAAATAATTACCAAAACATGTAAAAGAAGCATAATAAAACTAAAAGAAGCATTACTTACATGATTTCAGAAAAAAAAGATGCTAGTAATTACAAAAAAATCATTCTCACAAGCACATACTAATACATGAACTACTTAATAGATCACAGTAATGAATTAATCATCTCAATTGTTTTGGTCCTCGCATGGTAAACACATTGGGGGCTTAGAAAATGATAAGTCGATCTTCTCTCGTTCTGTATTGCCTTTATTTTCCATTTGCGCACCTTTTGCCACAGATGAAATGTGTCTTAGTTTTTGTCAAGGTAACCAATCCATACAATCTCCTTAACCGTAATCCTGATTATCATACAAGGGAAATTTTCCATTCAACTGTTACCCTTCTCTATCTATTTCATATCTAGATTATCTTCCAGGTAATATCCGGACTGAATAGATAAAATAATCCTTCACCTAGTTGCCTTCAATAGCGTACACCCAAACCCTACGTAATCGAGTCCCAGTCATGAAATCTTCAGCAGGAGGTTGCGTGGACGAATCTCAAATCCAATTAACATTACTAACAATCATAAATCATTAATTTCTTAAATCGTTACGTAAATCTTCCTTCTCCTTGATTGTTTTGAAAATCATTCTGTAAAATAAATCAGCTTCCGTAACCTGGCATGCACTAAACCATCCTAATGTACATAAACGCTTTGAGAATGACTAATACCGGTATATTATGATCAGACATTGCATGACAAGTTCATGACTGCCTTCAAAAAGCCTCTAATTCTCCTGCAGATTCTTATTACTACAACTTATGAAGCCCTCCAATAAACTCATTACAAACAAGTCTTCATACTCACATGGAAAATTGCGAAGAAAATGAGAAATGCATCGATTATCAAGGCGAGGATGTAAGAAAAGGCAGCGAAGGTAAACGCCATGTTTATGTTTGGATTGGAAATGTGCCGGGCGGTTGGTTCCTTTCTCCGGCCGGGAGTCTTTTATGGTCGTTCTGTTGAAACCGTATTCATATTTGGTTTATATTATTATTCAACTCTAGTTTGATAGTTATTTGTTGATGATATACCGTATATACATATATATTTAACACGCACGCAAACACACATACATGCACACGCACGCACACACGCACACACACACGCACACTCACTGACATTTTCCGTATTTAACCTGTGATATTTTACCTATTGCTAATCTCCAACTTGCGACCGATGTCATGTTTATACCATTAATGAACTTAAACGTGCTACAGCTTGCTCTTTAGTGCTTAAGTATATACGTTTCTTAACACTCATTTTTATGTATGTAACTGAAAGACCTATCCTATAGAATACTCTATTTTTTCTATATGTTTCATTCTAACTTTACATATTTCCCATGTTAATTTGTTTGGGCTTTTTCATGCTTGGAAATTTCTTTTAAAATTATTATTAAAGTGTGGCAATTTTACCCTCCTTACATAACTAATCAAAATGTTATTTGTAAACCATTTGTGTGGTCTATAAGAATTTCTTATGCAGGGATTTGTGGTATCTATAGCATACGTGTGTTCAATAGGCACTTGTCCAAAAGATTATCAAATGCATCTAGTGTTAAAACAGTCAATAATGATCCATTTAGCTGGAGCTCTCTGGTCATGTAGGACTTTGATCCTGACAGAGCCATCCCTGCTTGGTTTAATGCCCTTCCTAAAACACCATTGTTAATGTTAATGACTTCCTAACATTGTCCACCTCAATATATTTGGTTTATATTATCCATAATCAGATATGTACTCGGAGATGAGCTACTCTCTCTCTCTCTCTCTCTCTCTCTCTCTCTCTCTCTCTCTCTCTCTCTCTCTCTCTCTCTCTCTCTCTCTCTCTCTTCCTTACTCACTGTCTCGTTTCTTTTCTCTCTAACTCTCTCTATCTCTCCTTTCTCTCTATCTCTCTCTGTCTCTCCTTTCTCTCTGTCTCTCTCTGATCCATAGCAGCGGCAGTCTTCTTCAGCCTTCTTCATCCGATTCAGTTTTGATGCCCGATTTTGTGCCCGGTTTATTACATCATATCTAAAGGTTTTGTGTCATCTGAAAGCAATGCAACCAGGTCTGGTGGTAAAATGACATGATAAGATTTATTGTCCTCGATTTATTTTTTCATTCTTAAAGAAAACGTTAAGCCCCAAAGCTGAGGTAAAAATTATTAGTTTTATTACATCTAGATAAGATCGTGTTATAATGACTAATAAATGTTGTAATATAAAGAAAAAGTAACAAGTTTTGCTACTGATATCCATTTAGCCTGCAATAAATTTCCATTAGTAATTGACTAAATTGCCGCTCAGGTGAAAGATGGACACTGGTCGTGTACGCAAGAAACATGTGAGTAGTTATTACTCGGTGTCTTTGTATGCATCTCAGGTATTTCTATACTCAAAAAAATTATCCTTACACAGTATCCACTGCTCTTTGATTTCTTGGTTTGCTAATCAGTAGTGCAAGAAAATACCAGTATCATAATTTTCAACTATAATCTAAGAATGTGTTTATTATTACATAGGTTGTCGTTTCTTCCTTAATCACTAATCACCTAATCAGTCTAATTACATACTGATTTCCTGCTAATACTGCTTCTTAAAAAAATGTAAGTTGTAGTCATTATTAGACAATGTCCGATGTATGTTACATACCCAGTAGATGACTGTGTGATACATGGTGTATATTTTATTTGTTGAAAATTTTCTGCTGCGTCCGCATCTAAGCTCATTAGTTAGTATTGTTTGTGGATTCCTAGAATGGTCAATGGTTAAAACAAATAAATGTACTTGACATCAAAGGTCGTATAGTATTGTGGCGTATGAGGTAAAAATGAGTTAACAATTGTAATAACATGAGGAGGCTGTGTCCCTCTGTAATTGTACTGCCGTTTGTGTCTTGAGGTGTTGTGGAGTTAAGTTAAAGTTGTCACAGCTTCAAACACTTTATTTGCACAGGAATATGGTAGGTGGTGTACAGAGGACAGGCATGACAGAAACGTTCAAGGGGGAGCGAGGCCTCTTGCCACGCCCGTGAGGCAAAGCGGTCTGAGAGAGAGCTTGAAGTGTTGCCTGAGCCGATGCTGAAGGCAGAGTGACTTCGGCTCTCTGAGTTTTTGAGGGGTTCACAAAATATTCACTAAACATAAGAATATGACAACATTGTTCTTTCGTGGTTAGGAGTATAGGTCGATTAGACCAAATGGATAGTATCTATGTATTTATGAGGAAAACTAACAAAATATTCATTATGAAACAACCAACAGGTACTACGGGTAGAAAGGGTAAAAATGGAAGTTAGAGAAGTAGGGGAAGAATTCAGAGACTGAGATTAGGGAACCGGGGAGGTGGTGAATTATCAGAAAGAATATCAGGAAGGGAGGGATCCGGAGAAGGACGCTGTTGTGGCATAAGAGAGTGAGCATCCAGGTGGCAGTGGTAAGGATAATGGGAATGAAGAGGGAATGGTGCACATGGAGGAGAGATTGAGGTGTTTTAAGGGTGGGCGGGAGGAAGAGGGGTAGGGGGAACTTGAAGAGATGGAGGATGAATATCGGCAAATACTTTGAATGTACAGTGAATAGGAATAGAGGGATTGGGAGATGGTTGAGGAGTGGAAAGTTCTCTCGGGACATGTTTAGGAAGTTTTGGGTGTCTTCAAAGGTTTCTGGAGGGGAGTCGGGTAGGGAGGTCTGAGAAATAAATGTTCTTGTGAGGAGGAGAAGAGGGGAGAGATGTTCAAGGAACACAGGAAAAGGTGGGTGTAAGACAGGATGTAGTAGAAGATGGGTGGAGTGTTTAGATTGCCTGGTGGGACAGTAAAAGGGATAGGTATTAGGGAAGTGGTAGAAATTGGAGTTTCTGGATTTAGACTGGAAAAGGAATTTGACTGGAGAGGGAATAGAGGTAGGATGGTTTAGGGTAGAGGGAAGAGATACTGGGAGAGATGCTGAGACATCTTGAGAAGATGGGAGAGAAGGGGAGTGAAGGAAAGTTTTGGAATAGGTAGAGAGAGAAAAACCTTGTCAACATGCTTCCTGTTTGGCCTCATGTAGAGTGAGGTCTAGTTTGAATTTGAGAACTGCTACCTCAAATTTGAGCTTGTAGTCAAGGAAGCTCCTATAAATATATTATGGAAGCCACCACAATTTGCAGATGTGCATGGCTGACTGAGCAGAGTAATTTTAGTGGTCATGACTAGGTTGGAAACAAAGGGCAGCTGGGTGGCCAAAACTTAAACATTTCTGACAGTGACGGAGAAGGGTTTGGACTGGGCAGGACACTCCAGCAATATAAACTTCTAGTGGGAGGTCATGTCTATGGAAGCTAATCTTGGCAATATTGGTGAAGGACATACACTGGCCTCTGCTGTACTGTATGTACTGCTGCTGAGTCATAGTCGACAAGCAAGTCTTTTTAGTCTGACCAGTCCTTGTCAGGGAGTCAGAAACAGGTCCAGTACAAATATCAAGAAAGGAGTGAGGCTAGGCAGGAATAGGTTTGCCAGTGAGATTAGTCAGGATAGCTGGTCCACAAGCCCAAGAAACCAGGCTAATGCATACAATCTGTATCAAGTTCATTCACTTAATTTTTTTTTTGTTGATATTTCTTGTACAGTTCCCCTGAAATGTTTTTCCAATACATCAATCCTGTAATGAAATATCATTACTATATATTTTTGGGTGGGTATAATAATAAATAAGTTCAAGCATCATTAACACACAAACAGGGTTTAATATCCCCAACTTTTTGATAGTCTGTGATACACATTTGGTAAATTGGATCCCCAAGAAGTTTAGGAATTATGTGTCTTGTGTATGTTCTCAAAATAATTAGTCAATGCATGTGAGGGTACTAATCTTCTTCTGAGACTCAAACAAGAAAGTAATGTAAATTGTTTATTCAAATACTAAAGGCAAAAATGCCTTAAAAATCTGTATTACATTCATTCAACAGAGACCAGATACTTCCTCTTTGTCACAGAATACTGTATTCTACCTGTAAAATACAAATAAATGTAGAAAAAAACAAGTTCTAATACAATTTTTACATTTGTTAAAAGTAATACAATAGAAGTACACTAACAACAAAAAAAAAACATGATTCAGCATGATTCATTTCGAACACCATAAACTATAATTAAACAAGTTTAGTATTATTCACCCAAGATAAAAATGGAATGGCTACCAAAATATCTTTTGAAAGGAAATCACACTTGGGGATAACAGTTTGTCACCAATTTTCTCGAGATGAAAGATGAAGCAAAATGAGATTGTTTTTCTCTCTCTATAACCTTTAATGCTCCATATGGAAGTCATTAAGAAAAAATCCTTATTTTTACTTTTAACAAGTTTTATACAAATGCACTTTGGAAAATCCTATAAAACAGCACCTATATATTAGACCATGGGGGCGTCATTGGTTGTGGATTTTGCAGGTACGACATCACTACTGCAGAGATTGACAACCTAAAAGTGGAAAATAAAAAAGTAAAATTAATCAAAATAATGCTTAAAGATTAAACCTTAAAATTCTGAAGTGCCAGCATTAAAGAATGAAATATTCAATTATAATAATTTATTAAGTCTACATGTATGAAAAATTTTGTAATTACTTATTTACATTACAAATGCGATTATGTTATATTAACCATTATATTCACCCAAATCCGATGGGCATGGCATGCATGTACATACATGCCATGCCCACTATGAGTTTACTTTATTAATTGTTGTTACACATAGATGCCTACACTTGTACTAAGTCACCAATGTGCCAATTACGAGTACTGCCTGTCTCGCCTGTTTACCCTTTTCCTTGATTTTCAAAAATATTTGTTATCTTATATTGCTGTTACTAATGTCTATAATAAAAATAACACCATTGATATTGACAGCATTAGTAAAGAAAAAAAAAAATGTTC